ATGTTTACCTAGAAATTATATCATAGTTTATACCTGAAGTGCAGCCTCAACCAAAGGTTCCCGAGAGTCATTAAAAAGCAGGTAATTGTAAGGGAGTCCCATGCCAACAGGATTGTAAGCACAAACTACATTAAGCAATGAGGTAAACAGCGGCAATACGTGTCGATTTTCAGCTGACGTAAAATGAGCCACCCAACGGAGTCGGCTTTCATCTAAATCAAAGAATGCACATTTTCAGCAGCCTAAGCTAAGATTCAGAGACAACTCACCTGTTATAGGTGCATAGATTACTTCTGAAAAGCACGTCAGCAATAGCTTGAGGATCTCTGTACGATTTTGATCATATTGAGCGCTGGAGCTTGGCTTATTCGCAAAACCAACTCCTGCCTCCCAGATCAGTTCACAAGTCTCTAATGATGCAAGGTCATCCACTTTTTCCTGAAAACAATGATTTTAAAACCAAATGTCCATATGATAATGACATTTCAGTGAGATTTGCAAGACTTCAAACTAATGACCAGATTCAGATCTAATGAAAAAAATCTACTATCACCTTTGAGTAGACTGTAAACCCAGGACAAAATAGAAGATCACAAAGAATACCGAGTAAAACGCTAGCCATAGGTGTTTGTCCATCACCCTGAAAAGCCAGTGAATTTTCATCAAAACGTGCGAAAATTAAAGAAAACAACCTACAGTTGGTACTGAAGACCAGAAGTAGCCCCTCCATTCAGCATCCTCAAACATGTATGGAATGAGACGGGTGAGAAGTCGAATACAGTTGATTACCTAGACAAGAGGTAGAAGCTGAGGTCCAAAAGCACGATTTTCATTAACACAAACAAGGTTCTTCCGTAGCACATAAAAAGAAAAAACTTATTTCTCACTTTTCTCTCGCATAAACTGCTTGGATGATCTCTTGCAAATTGTAGTTTTTCTAAGGTTTTATAACATAAAGTAGCAAGATTCTTAGGTGAGTCATCTCTGAAAAACAAGATAAAATCGAAATCTTGCAAAACTTGCATCGTCAAATAAAGATATTGGGTGTACAACTTAATTCGGTCCATTTTTTTGCTTGAAAAACACATTTAATTAAATCATAAAATGAATTAATACCTTATTCAAAGTATTGGCCATCACTAGCCATTACTTTTTCCCATCTTTC